TTGTGTTAGAGGGGGTGTGTGGGTGGTTGGGGTATGAGGATTTGTTGAGTTTGCGGAGGGCGAGTCGGTTTTTTAGGGGGGTGGTGGAGCCGGTGAGGATGTGTCGCGATGTGTATGGGATGTGGGAATTTGTGATGGACGTGATGCAGCGGAGGCAGCAGTCGTTGGGGTGGCGCCTGGTGCCGAGGGCGTGTTTTGGGTGTTTTCGCGTGCGCGAGAAAGAGCAGTTCTCGCCGCAGCAGTACCGCCTGTCGCGCAAGTACAACCATGGCGAGTACTGGCGCCGGCGCTGCTGGGAGTGTCTGAGGCGGTTCTACCACCCGCAGCTGGCCGACACTGAGGCTCGCGCGCGCTTCCACAGGCAGGTGCTGTGCGGGGTGTGCAAGTGCCTGCGGTACGCCGACGAGGACTGCCGTGGCTGTGTGGTCAAGAGCGCGCAGATTGCCGAGTGGCAGAGGCTGAGTGAGCTGAGCGGCAAGAAGCGGGTGCCTCGCGTGGACTGGATGACGGACGCCGATGTCATGGTGCCTTCGTGGTTGGACGAGGAGGCTACTACTGCCAAGGAGGCCGACGAAGCGGAGGTGACAGAGCCCGACAAGGCGGCCGTGAAAAGGGGAATCGACTTCTTAGTTGGTTAGCCTAGTGTTGAGGACCAAGGCTAGCATCAGGAGGGCCAAAGCTGGCTGCTCCGGCATTCCGCCTCCCGATATCAACGACTACGGAGAAGGCGGGAGTATTGGAGACGCATTGCTTGCTCTGGCTGTTTACAAGCATTTACGGGGCTAAAAAGATTTCAGGGGTGAGAGGCTCACGGTTTCTCAAGAAAGGGATCCTGCTAGCAGCTCTCGAATAATCACCATGTGATCTTTCGGCCAGTTTGATTTTAGAACTCAACCACCGTGTCCCATGCAAATTCAGCCCATCAACCGTGATGCGCCCACTGAACAAACGTGATCCGGTCCGAAAACCCACTTTGGCTTGATCATTGTTCGGATCGGCGGCCAACAGCCGGTCTGCTGCGCCGTACCGAGGCCGCCACAAGAGGCCCATGGAGGCCGTCTGGGCAATTGGGGGTATGAAGACCCGGCGATTTAGCTGATGTACGGCCCCGGCCGGTGTAAGCGGCCCGCCAATCAAGCAAAATGAAACTGCGAGCAGAAAGCCATTGTTATCCGCTCAACCTCCGCAGGGGCATCTTTAAATGCTGCGTCCCAGCCTCGTAATCCTCCGACTCTTCAGACAACGACAGCTATTTTATACTTACACATCCAGAGCATCCCTGGTTGGACTCTGATTAATATAATCTTGACCTCTAATAAGACCACTACACCCACAGTCAACAACCAACCCTGACAATACCCATCACTGCGACCGGAGAGAGGCAAAAAAAGAACCCTCAAACGAAACCTCCATAATCCCCGCGAGCGGCATACAGTATACCTCATCACCAACAATGCCTCTCGCCAACACCCTCCCCACCGGCTCCAAGCCCAGCACTCCCGGCCTAGCCCCATCCACCATCACCCGCGTGACGCTCGCCAGCGGCTACCGCGCCTACCACCCCTCAGGCGACAGCAGCAGCAGCAGCAGCAGCCTCGCCGCCCAGCCACCCAAGCCCAAAAAGACCGTCCGCTTCGTCAAAGGCCACATCACCATCCCCAACATCCCCTACTCCAGCTCCGCTTCCCCGCCCCACCAACCACCACAACTATTTTAGGGTTGATCGGATCCTGTCGTTTAATACCCATACAGGA